CATAAGAACGAGCGATCAGCGACGTCGTCTTCATGGAAACTGAGGATTCCTGAATCGGAGAACCAAGTCAGGTAATAGTTCTTTCAGTTCTTTTGGTCGTCTCCAGGCGATAGCCGGCGCGTTCACTGAAACAACGCCGAAAACCAAAACGGAACGTCCGCGTTTCATGCGCAGTTAGGCGCAATTAAATCCTCTGTCACTACGCATATTCCCGATGACTTAAACAGAAGTCGGGCCCGTGCCTTAATGCCTGAGCTACAGCTACTGACCAAAGTACCCGGCTTAAAATCTCAGCCTGCTGTTGGGTATCAAATGGCTGACGACAGTGTTCTCCCTCTCTGCTGGTAATACCTCTCCACCAGTCTCTTTTTGACTTCGCTGCGGATATAGTCGACCAAATTCAGGATCGGGAAATCGACTCTGCGCAGTTCCAGTCAGAAGGTCTTTGGTGGTGATCTCAGTCAAGGGTCAAGCGGCCGCGAAAAAGGCAACACGCTTCCGATGATCAAGCTGTCTTCTCCTCCACAATGCCACGGTTCTAACTCCTGAATACCCACTTAAAAGGACAGGCTCTGACTTATGTAAACTCTTGATCCTCATACTTATCCTATCAGGTTGTGGTTGTTGCGTCGGTTTCGTATTTCGATGTTGGTAAAGAACTTCTGCCAACAGAGAGTGTTTTGGGCACACCGTAATTTACCATCTACACAACATACACTGAAGGATAGTGAGCCATGCTTTGTTGTGCTATGATTGATGCTCACGATATTTTTGTAGACCAGTGAGTAGGCGTCGAAGGAAGTAATGGAGGGGATTACTGCCTTGATAATCGACGAACGAGAAATATCACCGACACTGCTTACAGAGAATCTGCTTTCCTACGTTGGGCAGGGCTTCGTAACCAAACTCTGGGACTTCTACTGCCTCCACAGGCCTGCAGGAGAACACGGCGGACATTTGCTGCCTTGAAAACTCCCATTTGTTCCTTTTCAACCAAACAGAAGTCTTAGGGCTTTGTCATCTCAGTCTGTCAAACGACCCCTCTAACGCCAAGTACAAAGTGCACTTTGCTTTCTC